GAAAGAAAGATGAAAAGATAACGATAATGATAAAGTGACAAAAAGTTGCAATTATTCATAAATACAATTGCYATATCACAYACGACCCCGCAGTTTGCTTTTCACGCCAAACAACTTTTCAGACAAAAAAATAAAGACCACTTTCTTCGTTTACTTTCTCTACCWAAATTGCCAAACGGGATGCTGCCCGCAGCCGATAACCTTCAAAAATCTTAAATTACCATCCTTCAAAAYCGTCTTTCTTGACAACCTTGTCAGTCATATCGCTATTAAGTCGAAGAGCAAAACGAATAACCCAAAGAACTAAAACAAACGAAAGACATAAGCTCTTTTGTGTAACTTCAGACGCAAAAACGCCTAAGGGACATTATTAGTTCAACACRATAACGAAAAAAAACCAGACAACGTCAAGTTCATTCATGTTAGATTTTCGTCATGGAAACGGTCGCAGACAGCTTGATGTTTGTATGAGTTGATTTATGTTGGGAATTCGATGTAAAACGACAGACAGCTGCGCAAATCGACCAGAGACTGAAAACTAAAGTAGTGGCAAAGTAGTAACATTATCAAGTTATTGAGCAATATTTGCTTTGTTTTATTTTTAAAAAAACTTTTCAATTTATTCCTTTTAAACTGCTTTTTGACAAAACAAAATTACAAGCTTAAAATAGAGAAAATCAAGGATGTCGAAAATTGCTGAAAAGCTGACCTTAATGTTAATGATTGTATTACTAAAATGCTGAATTAAGTAAGATTTAACGCTCTTTTTATTATTTACTCATTTTCGCTTGAGACAACGKCTCTTTACACAACAGTAACTCACATCTGACTTTGGAACAAGAGCAAATATAGATAATAAATGATAAAAAAAAAATAACAAATTTAAAAGCAATTCATGAAAAAGTGTTTATTCTGTAGATTATAGTTTTACACTCTCTCCTTTCAGGGATGGATTTACTTAATACATGCACTGAGAGCGGTACGAATGATGACGTTTTAATGGCAATACAATGGGTTTAACCGTTACTTTTTTGCAGACGTCGAGTCTGCATTTGCTTTCGGCGTCTATAAAGAAAGAAAAAGCGAATTGAGCGATGCTAATACGAACTACGAACGTGATGGCAGTTTTTCTAGAGCAGAGTTTGAAAAGTATTTTTGCGTTCGTTTCAAACGTTTCTGAAAACCATTCAMTGTTCCAGCATCCGTCCACGCGAGTCCAGAGATCACTTTTTTCGAATATTTTCATCCGTACAAAAATATACCTGCGTCGACAACTAGAGTATATAGCGGACACGTATGGACGTASCCTCCTCCCCAGTCGACAGGCAACTGTTTTCTTCCTTTGGGCTTCCTTTGTAACGGTCATCTTGCCCGCTAGGGACTAGTGACGATGAAAAGTAAGACTCCCAAAAAGACAGGAAGCCCGTGATTCTTATAGTGATGCCTGCGGAAGAGACTAGTGTGAACGCTAGCTGAATGCTGTAGAAAGCGGAAAAATCTCTGGACTCGTGTAGACGGGGCTTCGGAAAACCATTTTCGTATGGATGCAATCTCGTACCCCGAGCCTTCGTTTTTCTTGGACAGCGCCGTCGATAAACGTTTCGGCRCTGGACAAGAGAACGAAGGCTCGGGGYACGAGATTGGTATGGATGTAAAAACCAATTCAATGTTTTAGAACTACTGTAAACAGCATGTGTAGAAAAAAAACAAGGAAATCATTTACGTGATTTAAGAAGTCAAAGAAAACCAATRATATTGTAGAAAATAAACTTAAATATATAAGAAAAAAAACATATCCTTACCTCATCTTCTTCACCATACAAATATTTCTCCCAGTTTTTCATTCTATCCGCTAAATCTTTTTCACTTTCCTGTGTATTGAAGTTTGTGGCGCCGTCCCATTTGGATGCCAGTAGCTTTCTTCCGGCGAACCATCGACCGTTCATAACCTGATATCAATGCAGAAAATATAGWGAACTGACAGTGTCTTGTTGACAACCCGCCACTATTACGGTCAAACCTCGCTTTATGAATACTCCCCCCTCCCCACCCCTGTTAGGGACACTTGGCCTTAAAGGGATATTGAACACCAACATTCAATGCGGCCGTGTTTTAGATTTTCCATATATGTAAAATGAGGTGACTGCAAGTATTCATTTGCAATCCGTTTCCATCGGTCGGTTTTAAAGAATCATAACCAATCGCCGTACATTGCGAGCCGAAACGCCATTTTAGGTTGGCACGAAAATGGCGGATTCGTAGGATTTCTTAAAGTGAGCGGGAATCGTCTTCCGTCCTTTCAGTTTGGACAGAAATACCTTTAACTAAGTACAGGTACGATCAATCTACTAATTTTATGTATGCTTGACGTATGTAAACGTATAATAAACGTATGTAAACAATAATACGAGCGCGCAAGGTACGGCGTTAAGGTTAAATCTGACAATATCACCATTTATAGAGAATACTGGGATAATAAAGAGTAAGTTTTTTTTCTTATATTACGGTGTAGTTTTATTTTTAAACATAAACAAAAGCTCCAAAGAGATGCCGGCGGACCACGGCCTTTTAAACAAATGCGCGCTCCAAAGAAATTCATGAAACTATATCACCCTTCGCGTTACGGACACTACGATATTACGGCCACCCCTCGCTATAGCTGGCACTCAATTACGGACACTCCATTTCATAATTAGCGTTTGTTGGAACTCACAGTTTCACAAGCATCAGCAGACTCATGWTCCTTGAAAGCCACTGAGCAGATTCCTTCTTGATTTCTCTGGTGAAAGGGAAACAAATAAGCCAGAGAAATAGTACCGCACTAGTCTGACAGTCAACGCACTTGTACCGTGAAATATCATTAAAATAAACAGTAACTATTATCATCCAGAAATACATTTAAATTTGCACATTTGAAAAGTAATTAAATACAGATTATGTTCACATAACGTTGTTTATTTTTTTCGGTCCGGTATCCTAGTCGCGCGCTGTGATTGGCTAGCGCGCAGTCCAGTATTTCACGATCTGTCCGTTCCACGATATCCTGCAGCTAGCCTGCGAGCAAAGTTGTAGAAAATACAAATAAAAAAAATGAAAATGTTATATACCGGCTATAGGTTGGTCCATATGGGAAAACACTGCCCTCGGGTCTTTTATGTACTGTCAAGACCTCGGGCAGTGTTTTCCTATAGCGACCTCCCAGCCAGTAAATAACATATATGTACTTGTAGGTTCCAAGTCTCTTGTGTATTATCTTTGTTTTCTACAAAAACTGTTCTTGTTCAGTGATAACTACTATTAGATACAATTAGTCAGTAAATAAAAACTAATAGTCACTATTTCTTTGATTATGTTTCACGGTACAAGTGCGTTGACTCTTTACTTTACTTCACAAATCTTATTAAATTACTTACATCAAATACAATAACTTTCCTGACTTCACCRTATTTCTCACACTCTTTTCTAAGATCATTTCTCAAGTCAAGAATCATCCCAGGCTCTTTCTGAATAACAAGCACAGTGAAAAAATTAATGATTGCGACCAAGTGCGGCTACAGGTTTCCTGTGTCCATCTGATGGAGGGGGACTGGGCTAATGTAAATTCGACCAATAATTTGTTCCCAGGTCCTTTTTCTGCCATTTGAAAAAAGCAGGCAGAGAAGCCCTGGGAACGAGGCTGATGTAAATAAATCCTGAGAGACTGACCTCAAACTCTTTGGCATCAAACATATTTCTTATGACAACAACTCTCTCGTTTTTAGGTCGTTTGTTATCCCTGTCGACCCAATCAAGAAGCCTAAAAAAAACATCAAACATCATCACTTTGCACATCAATGACATCACTGTATGCCGAATATTCTTTTTACTTACTTTTCTTGACCCTTCCCAGGCTTTTTCTTTTTCTTCTTCTTCTTTTTCTTTAATGCAGGATTAAAAGCTCCTTTCATGTGAAACTCTGCCTGCTCGACATGAAGTGTGCTGCCTTTGTACTCTGTTTCATCAAGAAGCTCAATAGCTAGAGAAACACTTTCAATCTAAAATAAAAAAGCAAAATAGTCAATGAGCAATGACTATTCCATTCCACTTTNTATTTAAGAAATATAAAACGGCGCGCGTGTCTCTGTCCTCTGATATAAACACGGTGGGAGTTCGAAAAACACGAGAGAAGCAAGCTTAGGAACACGAGCGTAGCGAGTGTTTCTCTTGCTTCTCGAGTGTTTTTCAACTCACACCGTGTTTATATCAGAGGACAGAGACACAAGCGGCCGTTTCATATTTCTTTTATAAAATTTTTCGAGTGAAAATTTTGCCGGTAAGCCGTGTCTCTGTCCTCTGATATAAACACGGTCGTCAGCCAATCAGAGCGCGCGTTATATATCAAAAATTTTATAATACAAGATTTCAAACTTACATTAGCCCTTTTCTGCAATCAATGAACAAAAGTATTCTTATACAAGTGTCATTAATGTACTATACAACAATCCGTTGCTTCAAAAATTTGGACTGACTTACTTGTGTCAGGATCCTCCATTATAATTCCATACTTTAACATTAATTCTGTAAATTCGTCATCTGAAATATCTAGAGGAAGACCTATGGATGGTGGATTTTAAAAGAGTCAGTTTTTTTTGTAGACATTTCATAATCCCTGTATAAAGAGACACGTCAAGGAAAGGAGTATCAAAAAATTGAAGCTCAGCAACAAAAATATTATTGTGSTTGCATACATGCAATTTAGGCTAAGTTAAACACATAACTTTTGTTCAGAGGTTACTGGCAGTTCTTTCAGAGTGGCAGCTTTCTGCTSAGCAAAAATTCCCTTCCCAGACCCCCTTGGGTTTGATTGTACTTATTTTTAGGTAAGTACATGTACATAAAGACCTTTATAGGTGTGACAGATGCCTATGTGAGCTGTGGCCTAGTTGCCATGGTCACCTTGTCATGTGGGTTAGGCGTGACCTGCCGACGTACCCCTGATGCTCAAACTAATATTACCTAATGAGTTTTAATATAGTAAGGGAAAACTATCTAAATAAAAAACGGGTGGAGATGTTGACTAAAGAAGTGATTTTTTTCTCAAAAGTTTGAAGAACAAACAAAGTATGAATAAATGAATGACAGAAGAATGAAAAAGCAGTTGAATAAAACAAAATGAATGGAAGGGATAATTTGCATGGCTAGATAAACAAGTTCCACCGGATGAGGAAAAATGAATAATAAATATTGAAAACAAAGATACTTACCTGACACATACACATTGGTGTTCTTGGACTGATCCATTTCAAACCAAACTGAAACCCAAATAACAATGATATCAGTAATYAACCTTACACTAGATTGACTTCTGTCAATCAAACCAAAGAGCTACTGTAAAACCAAGCCCAAATATGGATTTGATTGACAGCTGTCAATTGCTAATTGCAAGGGTTCCATAATGCATAAGAAATACTTTGATACCTGGCTCTTCTTTTGCTTTTCTCTTTTTGCCTTTTTCTAGTGACTCTTCTTTTGAAACACTCTGGTCTCCCTGAAAAAGTAATGGGTTGTCTTTGAGTTCTTGGGCTTCCTGTGTCTCAAATGTAACAGCCGAGAAAACTCAACAAGACGTCAGTTTTCTATATTTCTTTTTTGTAGAGGGAGGGGAGGGTAGCATTCAAAACGCTCAAACTTTGAAACCTAGCAACGAAAGCTCAAATTTAAGCTTAAGCTTTACCTCCGTATTCTCTCCTGCAACTGGTTGCGGAAGACGGTCGTCCACCGTGCTAACATTTGATTCTGAAGTTTCCTTCTCTGTACTATTAGCTTCATTAAAGCCATAATTCATTTGATAAGCAGCAAGAAAGTCTTCATCMACTTTCGGAAACCATCCTTGCTTTTCGTTATCCCATTCATACGTTGTGCCATCGTTTGGGTCTGTCCACGAGTTAGAGCTCGCAGCAGACGCGCTTGCAGCACTTTGGGAAGCTTGGCTTTTGAGTTCTTTAAGGAAATCTTTAGTATCTTTATCAGCGCTAGCTGCCATAGTGTCAAGTTGTCAAATAATTTAAAAATATGATAAATACATACAAAAATTTGCGAAGAAAGTTCTCCCAAGTTTGATGTTTTGACAATTGAGCCAGTATTCTGTCAGCTGTTTTGTATTATAAAGGATGCTCAGCGCATATGTTGTGAAAGTGTTTGTTCGCGGGCTCATTGTATTAGATTACGTTACAATGACATTGCGTGACATCTTTTTATTGTCAAAATTTTCTCTCTGAGTTGACACTACATACATGTATCCTTTTGAACTTTGGATTAACATATTCCAATCAGGTCAGCTAGTACGTGCACTATCTCAAGCAATCTTGCAGATTTTACAGGTTAGAATGGAATGTTTTCTTTATACATTTTTATTATAAATATATTTTTGATAAATAAYTTATTGATTTTTAGCCACCTCGAAAAATCTTCGAGATATCCGTAAGAGAAAATAGCATTGTTTTGCATGCATTACTTTCAGTGATTGGTTGGCTAGACTGCGTGACAAAAGMTTGCACGAGATAAGAGTGTTATCTTCCAGCTGTGCGTCGTCGCACGCTCCCTTGTTTGACAGCTCATGCCACTTCAATCAGGTTCCTAGCTGAGAAAGCAAAAAGATTGACCTTTCGTCTGTATATTTGCTTGTAAAGAGCCGAGACAGCCAATCATGAATTTGAATGGCTCAGATAACCAGCAAAAATACTAGATCCCGCGAATTTGTTTACGTTTGACAGCTCAAAATTGTGAAGATGTTTCATTTACTACGAAAAGGCGTTCCAGCATCTAGCAGTCAAAAGATAGCTGGAAGCCGACTGAGCTCGTTAATTTTCAAAGCAAGGTAATATTTTACAAATGATTTTCCATTACAAATCTTCGCTAATAATTAACCATTGTTTAGATAAACAATAGTTAACCTGTTGAAATTCAATCGACAGTGGTGTAAAATCAGTGGAGCGTTTCACCCTCGATAACTTACAAGCTCTTCGTTGTACTGTAATACCAACAGCTTCCTTCAGCATGTCAGAAAGCAAGAGGGTTAATAAGATTCCCACCATTCGTGGGACGGACATTATGCACAATTCAAGCTTAAATAAGGTGAGTTTACTAGCAAAAATACTACAATTTGAAAGCAACACGTTTTTATCCCTGCTACCAACTGCCTTTCGCAATATTTTTCAAATGGATTGCGTTTTTAAAGCTTTAGATAGTTTTTAGATAGTTTTGAAAAACATTTTCATCGTCACCTATTCCAGGCAATTTTGGATCAATAAGYATTTCCTGTAGATAAATAATATTTTGTTTTCTTAAATTACAAGGGTCTTGCATTCACACTCGAAGAACGACAAATTTTGGGGATCCACGGCTTACTGCCTCCTTACGTATCCGATCAATCCATCCAAGCCAAGAGAGTGTACTGCGAAATGCACAGAAAATCAAACGATCTTGAAAAGTAAGTTGTTKGAAAATCCTTCAAGCCGTGGCATGACTTCTATTTATTTAATTTGATATCTTAATTTGGTCTGTTGTTGAACTGGAAAAATGGGATACTGAAAAAAGGGGAATTGGATTTTGATTTTATTTAAGACTGTTGCTAACAGACTGATAATTTTAATTAGGTGACTTAAGTTAAATACTAAGAGCTATTTCATAATAAGTGCTTAACTTGATTTCTTCACCAAGCTGTCAATAATTTTCAAAAGTAGGTCAGAGTTCGCCCATGAGCTCCTCCCCCTAATGAGATATACAAAAGATCATAATCATTTCATGATAAGCAAGAATGACAGAGAGAATGGACATATATATAGGTCATTAATAAGAATTATAATAAATACATAGACATCAATCTGCATTCTCTTAATCTATTTTCACAGATATATCCAATTGATGGCTCTACTAGAAAGAAATCAAGCWTTGTTTTTCCGAGTGCTTTTTGACTATACAGAAGAAATTATGCCAATCGTTTATACTCCAACTGTTGGTCTGGCATGTCAGAAATACGGCATGATATTTAGAGGTTCAAGAGGATTGTTTGTTTCAATAAATGACTTGGGACATGTTGAGGAGATTGTTTCCAATTGGCCTGTTCAAGATGTCAAGGTAGGTGCTGACATGTGTTGTCCATTTGCTGGCCCTAGTATTTACTACCCTGTTGGGCCTCCTGTGTCCTTCTGCAGTACAGGAAGCCCAACCAATTAGCAGTGAATGGACAACAGTTCAATAGCCAATGAGAATGCTGAATCTCAGTTTGATGGATAATTTAAACAATGTCTTTTGTGTTAGGCTATTGTCATGACAGACGGGGAGCGCATTCTTGGTCTTGGTGATCTGGGTTGTTGCGGAATGGGTATTCCTGTTGGCAAGCTATGTTTATATACTGTATGTGGTAACATCCATCCAAACTCTTGTCTTCCTGTCATGATTGATGTTGGTACAAATAACCAGGTAATTATACCATTTTCTATGATTAATATTGCAATAAATTCCCACTCCCTCCCCCTAGGGAAGAACCAATTTTCCCTACAGGGGAGGGGTAGGGTWGGAATAGAAAATGGCTGTACATAGGCTAGCAAGTGTTGTAATCATTGCTACCATTGATGATATAGAAACTACTTGATGATCCATTCTACATTGGAGTTCGTCAGAAAAGAGAYAACAGCGAAAAATATGATCAGCTTATTGATGAGTTTATCAATGCAGCATTGAAAAGGTAAAAACTAGAATCATAACAAACACACAGTCCATGGTAAAAAGTGTAATATAGCTGACTTGCAAATTTCGCCTCAGTATAGTCACATACAAAGGAATCAAGACAAGAAATTCAAAAGACAATGTTTTTCACAATTGACTGAGCATTATGCACAATGCCTCATCTTGATTCTTTCGTGTTTGAGGAGAAATGAGGCCTTATGCACCACTGGGTGCGAAGTGGTTCAGTAATGGTAACTGAGGCAAAATTCGCAATTGGCTGATAAATGGTATTGCTCAGAATAACTCAAGCGTGCATATTACGCTCTGGTAAAACAGCTTAACAGTATATCGACTCTTTGTATAACCAGCCCTGTCAGCTACGCATTTAAAACTTTTAAGCCTAACACCTTGTACTATCTTTATGTCGAAGATTTGGACCAACAACCCTTATTCAGTTTGAAGACTTTGGTAATCACAATGCATTCAGATTTTTGGAGAAATATCGAAATAAGATTTGCACCTTCAACGATGACATTCAAGGTAGGACATGCATATTGATACTCAATCAACAGGCCTGCAATCTTGAAAGACAGCTGTGTTTTTGCATTAAACTGCAAAGTAAGACAGTATTTAGGCATCAATATCTTTGCATGTCTTTCTTGGACCTTTAGCCCAGTAAATAAAGTGATTTCCTGACCCTATCCCCTATAGGGAAATATTTTTATTCCTAAAAAGGGAAATCGCTGCGACAACCTGTTCTGAAGTTACATATAAAACCTCTAACCTTGTTACAGGCACTGCTGCTGTTGCTGTGGCTGGAATCTTAGCATCTCTTAAAATCACAAAAACAAGGCTTGGAGATCAAAAGATCCTTTTYCAGGGAGCTGGTGAGGTACGTATTGAATTATGTCCCTTACATTCAACTTATTATAACTTATCATAATAGCCCATTATTTTGTTTCGCATCATAGGCTGCAATTGGCATTGCCAATCTCTTGGTGCTCGCTATGATCAAAGAAGGACTCTCAGAAGAGSAAGCTAAGAGTAAAATATGGCTTGTGGACTCAAGAGGACTTGTTGTCAAGGTAGAATTTGCTGGAAACTATATCATCTGCTTGAATTATAAGAGTAGACAATATTGCTTTTTTTCAGAATCGAGCAGTAGGCGGTCTAAATAATCAGAAATTAATCTATGCCAAGGAAACAGACTACATTGATAATTTAACTGATGTTGTCAAAACTGTGAAACCCACCACCATTGTGGGTGAGTACTGATTGATTGTTCATATTCTGTATTGAGTGACATTCATACTACATTCTTGCTTGATTGCATTGTTCCTAGTTGATTGCATTTTTGAATGATTGATTGCACTCTAAGAATGCAATTGATTCCACTCTTGATTAATTTCATTCCAGATTGATTGCATTCCTTATTGGTTGCATTTTTWAAGTTTATATTATATTGCTTCAGGTGTTGCAGCAGTCCCTGGTGCATTTACTGAGGAGATMTGCARRGCAATGGCCTCCTTCAATGACAGACCCATTATATTTGCATTGAGCAATCCTACGTCAAAGGCTGAATGTAAAGCAGAAGAGGCTTACACATGGACAGATGTAAGTTACTCCCCCCCCCCTTTCCCTACCAATATCCTTTCATTTGTTTGAACAGATTCCAGAAATAGAAGACCTGTTTGGTCCTTTCCCCTTACAGCCTTTTAGCCAAGATGTACTTCTAGTAAAGAAATGAAGAGAGTACAAGCTGAAGCCAGCTGAAGTTGTTGTGTTTCTTGCTGTTGTGCAGACAGCAAGCATTAACTCATTTTCCAGATAGGTTTCTTAGTGTACAAGTACTCCAGTGTAGCCTGCATAGGGGTTCTACAGAGGGGAGGAGGGGGGAAATGGAAGCGGAGGGTGGGTCGGGGGAGTAGGGCTGGTGTGGAAGCATATTACTTACTTAATAGTGTTTATGCCAAAGCATTCCCAACAACAGTTGACAATAATTTCATCAAAACGTTCATCTCTGACAGTAGCTTTTATAATACATATTGATAATTAATCAATACCATGTTGCATTGCTTTCAAAACAACTCAAGAATGACATCATTATTGAAATTGCTATTCCTTGAAGGGTAAAGCAATCTTTGCTAGTGGCAGTCCATTTGACCCAGTAACACTCCCAGATGGCCGCCATTTTGTACCTGGTCAAGGCAACAATTCTTACATATTCCCTGGAGTAGCTCTTGGTGTCATTTCATGTGAATCTTGCCGTGTAACTGACAGCATGTTTCTAGTTGCAGCAGAGGTAAATTGAAAATAAAACTGATGATCATAATACAGTAATTTTCATTTGACTGTGAAAGATTAGCGAGTTTGCAGATAGCTGTTTCACACTCTGAATCTATAGTAATGTGTAGAGTTTCTGAAACACTGTGACATTATATTTATATGTTCTCATTTCAGTCTCTTGCAAATCAAGTTTCTTCATCACAACTTGAGAAAGGTTGTCTCTACCCTCCTCTGGGAGATATCAGAGAAGTGTCAATCAAAGTTGCTATTGATGTTGTGAATACTGCCTATAAAGAAGGATTTGCCTCTGAACTACCTGAACCAGAAGATAAAGAAGACCTTGTACGACAACATGTTTATGAACCAAGCTACATGTCTTACATYCCGAAAACATATGAGTGGCCTAAAGCAGACTAAATGTTTTCCTTTTATGCAATAATTAACTAAAAGTTTTTAGTGTTAATGAAGGGTTGGATTGAGATTTTCTGCTCTGCCAGCCCTACTGGGGTGGTGTGGAGAGAAGGACCTATGGAGATGGCCATTTTTTTTTTCTTCTTCTTCTTTGAATGTTCATTTGGATTATTTTTTTATTTTTGGCACTGATATTCAACAGCTGCACATCTTCAAAAAGCCTTGCCATTTCTATATACAGACCCTCTTTTTTCCTCAGGCCTCCAGTGGGTAGATCAGATGATTGGATGATCTAAATGACGATGGTATAGATTTTCTATTCCTGATAATCAATGATAGATAAAGCAGATATGCCATAAATATAAGTGTGCAAAAACTATGGCACTTTTTGAGTCAGGYCTGGTGCTCTATAGGATAATATGAGATTGTATTCAAGATACTGCATCAGCATTGAGCAAAAAGTGATTTTTKTATGATAACAAAATGGAATATTTTTTACACAAATTTAATATAATTTAGTCATGCAACAGAATTGACAAGAGGGAGTATATTACAGTTGTTAATTATTAAAATAATTTCCCTTAAGACAAATCAATACAAATTATTTGACTTCACTTAGTGTTTTAATAAATCTTACTGTGCTTTGCCCCCATCCATCCAGTTTTGTCTATTTGTTTCTTTTTCCGATCTTTCTGCGAGAAATCCACGAGCGCCTCCCGAATATTTGTATTGCGCAAAGTCTTCTGGGATACATGTCAGCCATATTGGGTTGTTCGTGGGGAGGGTTATCCGTCGTGATTTCCGTATAAACCCGAATATTTTACGCTGGAAAAACAAAACTAGGAATCATTCTACACAACGAGAGGTGAATCAGAAGAGGTTTTGACTCCTATTTGCAGCGTTCAAGCCTCATCGTCCTCTTCAATATGCCTCTAATCAAGAGGCTTATCGAGCCGACTGAGCTCAGCCGAGGAAAACTAACAAGYTCTTCAGCGAGTGAACTGGAGGCTGTTTCAGTRAATACTTTATGTGGAATTATGAGACAGCTTAGTAGTTTGTCTAAACATGCAGAAGATGTATTTGGAGAATTATTTACTGAAGCTTCTAATATCCACAAGAGATCGGAGTCTCTGCAAACCAGAATACAAAGTCTCTCGATGAAAGTGACACAGTTAGATTCGGCTGGCGAACAAAGTGAGTTTCATTTTACCACAAATCTTCGGATTATGACAATAACTTCTGMTCTGTTTGACTTTTATAGGTCGTAATTAACTTGGTATTGCTTATTTGAGGGATTATTTTAATCTTTATTGAGTTGGAATTGATTTTAATTTTGAATCGTGAATATTGTTTTCATTTTTGAAATCAACAAATTCCAAAGCGGGCATTTGAACAACACGCACATCAACATAAGCTTGGCGGCACTTACGAAAGCTTGTGAAAAAATGAGATTTACCACAATAATTATCATTTAGCCATTCAATTATCAAAGGTTTACGATAGGAATTTTTATTGAAAYAAATGGATTGTATTTATTTAGAAGAAATCACTTTATTAGATTCTTCTGAAGCGTGATTTGCTGGGCGTCAAAATATCTTATGTCCTATTGTTTTCTAATACATACAAAATACTATTTGAAAAAGTCGTGTTTTGCATTTTATTTACATAAACAACGAAATGATGCAATTCTGCATTTTGTTACTAGTAACTTTTTGGGTCAAAACTACAGTTTTATAACTAAACAAATTTGTTAGAATAGTTTAATATTTAATATTCTTTTCTCTTTTATACCCACAGTATCCTTACAAGATATCAATTTAAGGAAGGCATTTAAAAGTACAATTGTCACAGACCAGCAGGTTCTATCAAGCAATACTTTACCAACTGCAATGAAAGAACGCTACTTAACTTGCAGTGAGCCGCCAAGGCTGCGAGAAATGAATCCATACCGCGATGATGATAAAGACGCTCTCAAGTTCTACACAGATCCTACTTACTTCTTTGAACTCTGGTGTGAAGGAATGAAGAAGGAGACAGAGAGATACAARAAGAGAAAAGTGAGTTGTGTTGTTAATGGTTGTGTGGAAGGTGACAAAATTTTTGCTGCTCAAGGTTGAAAATAAGGTTTCTTGTGTTATAGAGATGACTAATTCAARTTGTCATCTTAGAGTGATCGCACTTAAACAWTGCARCTGTACAAACTAAAYAGTGCTATTTAGTTGTATTTAGTAAATCATGCATGAGGYGCGCAAATTAAATTGAATCAGTATTACACTTTGTAAATGAAGCATTCWATACCRTCTTGCYTCAGGTCYAATTTTAGWGCAAATTAGTACKACTTAGATTTTGTACAGTTGTGCAGTTTAAGTGCGATCACTCTTCAGGTCCACTTTTAGTACAAATTAGTAGTAATTAGATTTTGTACAGTGGCACAGTCTAAGTGCGATCACTCAAAAGCAGATTTAGCAAGTTTGGAAAGATTATTGCACAAAGTAGATTTACATGAGATGTAACTTTCTATAATATGATGTTTGTTGCTTGTTTTCATAGCATATCATCTATCCCTATTTTACTTCATTTCCAGGGTTATCATTATTTAATCCCTATGTTTTTTTTTACAGAAAACCCCTCGTACTCGAACAGGAACAAGAGCCAAGGCTCCAGTCAAGGCTGTCAAGAGAAAGATTTATTGTGCACAAGGAGAGGAGTTCAAAAACCTTCACATTAATGCCACCACTCAAAAACATGCAGAAACAATCCAAGATACAACTCCAGAAACGAAGCAAAATGGTGGAATCCTAGATGTGGATGAACACATCCTTCCTCCTCCACAACCCTCAGCAGCCTCCCCAGGGCAAAAAAGAACGTCAAGAAGATATACCCAGAATCAGAATGTTCACAGGCCAACAGCGGCRCCACCGCCACCACCAATGCCAGGCATGGGTGCTCCTTCTCCTTCACATCAARCCAGACCAGTTGGCGCACCACCACCACCTCCTCTTCCTGCTGGAGTGCCTGCCCCACCACCTCCCCCTCCCCCKCCAATGCCTGGGGCAGGGCCACGTGCACCAAATGCTCCAGCTCCACCACCTGTTGGTGGACCACCTGCTCAGTCACCTTCAACAATGTCTCTGTCCACTTCTGAGTCCACATCAAGTGTTGCCAGTGAGGCCCAAATGCCACCAGCAGTTTCTGCAGCAGTGGATAGTAGGAGTGACTTGCTAGCGGCCATTCGTCAAGGTATGGCATTGAAACGGACTCAGGTGCAGGAGAAAAAGAAGGTTAAGGAAGATACCAATGGAGGAATGGATGTTGCTTCAATTTTAGCCMGACGAATCGCTGTAGAATATTCTTCTAGTGAGGAAAGTGAGACCGGGTCTGAATGGGAAGATGAAGATGAGTGAATAATTGTAGAGAATTCTTAGCTATTTTGTATGAATTGAAATAACCAAAAAAACTATAATCTCATAAAAAATATTGTTATTTTGGCCTTCTAGTAGAGAGTAGAGTGCATTTCAAATTTGTGAAATAAAATCTAAATAGAGTGAACACACTTTTGTGAAATTCAGCAAATGGTGTCCATAAAGAACACTGGCGATTCAAAGGATGYTCTACWATATTTTCAGATTTACTGAAAATTTGTGTGTATAATTTCATGCATTAATAAGTGCTTCAACTCGACTACTCATAGTGTATACCATACACCATTTCTCAAGCAAGAACATTTTGAAATTAAGCCAAATATAAAAGTGACAATATCTTGTTACAGCTGAGCTAAAATAGTTAATGAATAATAACTATTGAGAAAAGATTGAGATTTCTTTTGTAACATGAAATGCAGTCTAGTAGACATGAGGTATTAGTGGTTATACCAAATTATGTCAACCAGCTTTGTTTCAAATGAATAGGGTCTTCTMGAGTGGTTTTCCAAAACCCATGGAATGGTTATTAATACAAACACAATTTTATAGACAATTCTTTTCTCAGGGTTTGATCTAGAGCTTGCAAATTCCCCAACGATAGATTTGAAACTTCTTCTATCATCGCACAAAGTGACTACAGGGCATACTTGTATGCAACAGTTTCATTACCCTATTGATTTGGCAAATAAAGTCTTATATTTCAAAGACTTTAACTGCCAAGCAAAGGGAAGTTCTTGAAAACCCTCTTTGAGTAGAAAATAAGTCACTCCTGTTATCTATATACATTACTTTCCAACACTGAGCTCTAACTGAATATTATACTTACTATTGATGTACAGTCTTCAATGTTGTTTTATTTACAATTTTATAATCCATGCTTAAATGTTTAATTGACTTATTTACGATTTTATAATAGTTCTAATCGGTACATTGACCTCCATTAATGTCAATGTATCCACTAAAATATATCATAATATAAAATTGTAAATAAAACAATTTATGGTTTTAGTCAAGTGTGAATCCTGATTGCCAATTCAAAGTATTGCTGTACATGCTATTATGTTTTCTCAAGTGATATTTTTGTACTAAAATGAAATTTATGAATAAACTGAGTAATAAATTGTGTAGTACTTACTATAAAATTCAACAAGTAAACTCGTCATTTTCAAATCATTTTCAAGAGTAATGTATTCTTAGAAGTTAGTTCATAGTTTGAGGACTTTGAGTCTAAGATTACAAACTATTGGCATATTGGCTCTGGGAATGCATTGTTTGTGTTCAAAAGATTCTGTATGAAATACTGAAAAAAAAAAACTGAATATAGTGCATCATGATACGGAAATGCATTGTTGCTAGTCATAAGATTTTTTTGAAGGTTAAATCTTGAGGAAAACTTATATTTTTTAGTACCTTACAAATTTAATTAAAACTGCTAAGTCATAGTGACTACAATTTTCCAGTTTTGTCTAAAATGCCTACTCACTTTCATGTGCAAACAAAATTGTGAGATTACATTGCTAACATACTTTGTCAATACTGTTCAACAGTTGCCTTACCCCCACTCCCCTTACAATTATTTCAATGATTGATAGATTTTTCGCTGATTCATTGTCGAGCGCGCAAAGGCTTATGGGTCAAGGCATAATATATAAACAAATCGGACCTGCGATTTGACAAATCTTTTCAGCTTTCAAGATTTTTATCAACTTTTGTACAAAATGGCCGTGGCTAGAACCGTGTCTAGGCTAGAAACGTCAAAGCAGATGCGCGAAGGAGGAGGATTTTTGGTTCGTCGGCCGATCGGAGACAGGATTTCAGTACTCGATCCGTTTCTGTTGCTCGATCATCTTGGACCGGTGGAATATGCGCCAGGAGAAGCGGTTGGAGCTCCAGACCATCCTCACCGAGGCTTTGAAACTGTGACCTACTTAATTGACGGTATGGTAACACTCTAAAACTAGAAAATACGATRTATTCTGATAAAAAGTTACGTATGTAATTTGGCATTGATCGAGCCATGGATACTTTWTTATCCATGATCTATTGAAGCTATCTAAATGTCAATCGCTAAGAAAACGGAGCCAGGAAGACAACATTGATTAAGCTTATATAACTGCCAGTTTTCTAGAGTTTCTTCGGAACTCTACCCTGTTTTAACCAAATATTTTTTACCTTAATATATAATGCCATTATTGTATTGTTAGAAAACGTGAATCTATAAAAATCAATTTTCAGAACTCCGATTCAATTTGCGGTGTACAGGTGTTAATAGCACTGTGTATCAATTACGAGAGGTCCCTAGAGTACAAACACTAAAACTGTGCAACATAAATACCACTAAATACTGATAAATTATGCTAATTCTATTGTTTTCTATTGTTTAATTAACACTATTTTGTAGTAAATAGTGGAAAGTGTTGCACACATTTAATGTACATAAATACCACTAAATACTGCTAAAATATGCTAATTCTATTGTTTTCTATTGTTTAATTAACACTATTTTGTAGTAAATAGTGGAAAGTGTTGCACACATTTAATGTTTTAAACTCTAGTAACAATTACAGTTGCATAAATAACAGCTAAAGGCCAGTTGGAATCTCATTTGCCAGGAATCAAGGGTCATTGTTTATCAACAAACTCATTCTTATGCTAATGTGCAAACCATATCTAGAGTGAAGTGGGGGAAGGGAGTGGTCTAAAATGATTCGAGGTAAAGAATCTAAAATGACATGGGGTAGGCCTAGTCTAATGAATCAATGAGAGTTAAAGGTGATCTAGAGTAAAATGATGCAAGGTAGCTAGGTCAGATTGACTTGGCAAGGGGTGGTCCAAAATGATGCAAGGTTCAGGGAGGTGTGATTTTGCTTGACATTACAGGAATATTTCTGCACATTCTCTACTGAATGGTAGAATGGAGACCCTATTGTCGTGCATTCTCTGGTAAGCAAACGGTATCCGCTTATTTCGCACAAAAGACTTTTCGCCCAAGTCATTTYGCCCCAAGTTTCGAACCGTTAGCACAATTCTTATATCGATGAATAGTCATTTCACACAGAAAATAAAACCCCTTAAAGAAAGATATGAAAGGTATATCAATCTACTCTAATAACATTATATCACTTTCAAGTGACATTCGATAAAATCTTATGCCAAACTAATTTTCATGTTTTATCAGGTGAGATGCAACATAAAGACAGTGCAGGTAACAGTGGTACCCTCAAGGAGGGTTGGGTACAGTGGATGACTGCAGGGTCAGGAGTAGTGCACTCAGAGATGCCATCAGACAGTTTCCTAAACAGAGGAGGCAGAAGTGAAGGCTTTCAGCTGTGGGTTAATTTACCTGCAAAAGACAAGTTTGTAAAGCCTCGATACCAGGACACACCACCTGAAAAAATCCCTGTCGTCAAAAGCAAAGGTACAATACCAGTATTTACTTTGTAGTTTGTTGGTTAATAAGTAGAGAGGAACATAAACAAAGAGCCCAACAATGCTGCCATGGTCTAAATTGAAATATCTCTCTAAAAAGAAATATCCTATGCAATCGAAGATTAAATAAATGAGAGTTTAAAACTCCTTAAATACAGCAATACAAAATTTCTGTTTATAATMGATTTTCCTCAGCCCCTGWTGTATGAAAAKAAGCTTTCTTATAGAAAAAAAATTGGAAACCCTAAAAATCCATGGAAAATCCACAAAGCCATTCATTTTCCCGTTAGGAAGCTGAGATGGGTCTGGGCACGAGAATGTAACACTGACGAGAGGTAGCTTTTTGTGAAGAGCTAAGATAAAATAAAATGGTCTTTTGACAACTACCACATTATGTAGCTTCTAGGATTCACATGCCAAAGTTGTTTATATAAATTTTTAAAATTACCATATTACAAGTGAATATTAATTTAAATGATTTCTTCAGATGGTAAGACTTCCATAAAAGTAATAGCAGGAGAGAGCCTTGGAACRAAAGCAACAATAGAGACAAGATCACCTATGATGTTCTTGGATATCCATGTTGAAAAGGGTGGYGAATTCATCCAAGAAGTTCCTGAGCAATACAATGGGTTTGCATATGTTTGGAGAGGAGAGGGGAAGCTTGGACCTGATGATATACCCGCTGCTATGGGCCAGGTATATGTAGAGTGCATGTCATAAATGTGTGAAACAATAGCGWAACTATTTTTTGGGCGTATCGGTATTAAGTTGCATAGCTGCTAACTTCGTAGTTATTTTCTTCATATAAGAATTGATTCAGGCGTAAAAACAAAGACACAAAGAAAATGCGTCTATCTTTGTGTCTGAATCTACGCCTGAATCAATTCTTATATGAAGAAAATAACTACGAAGTTAGCAGCTATGCAACTTAATACCGATACGCCCAAAAAATAGTTACGCTATTGTTTCACACATTTATGACATGCACTCTATATAACAACATTATTTTACAACCATCGCTCCCATAGGGCCTCATCCTTAAGGTTTGCAAGACTCCAAACCCAATGTAATCCCTTAAAAGTCCCAACTGGCAAGGAGGCAAAGYAATTGGCCTATCACAGGAATAGTTGAGTCATTGAATTTGATCAAAATTTGAACAAATACAGCCTCAGCAGTCATAATGGGCCTTGAACCTGGACCATCAGGTTGAAAGACCAATGTCATGACTACTCAGCCATACTGCCTCCAGAAGTATTTCATACATTCAAAAAATAAATAAAAACAAATGAATAAAATTTTAGAATAAAAATAAAAATAAAAGGGATAAAAGGTGGATAATAGATAAAATGAATAGTGAAATAATTTCTACACATCACAGTGATTAAAATCATGAATATATCCTTTTATTATTATTAATTTTTGTGAATATTCAGGTAGCTCTTCTGGGACAAGGTACAACATTCAAGATYAAGGCATTATCTARCCAAGACATTCACGTCCTGTTAATCGCTGGAGTTCCTTTAAATGAACCTGTTGCACGACGAGGACCCTTTGTCATGAACACATGGGAGCAAATAGAAGAGGCATTTTCTGATTTTTACATGGGTAAATTAGGCGAGATCAAAGGATCAGAGGAACGATATGCAAAGACAAAATCAGCTGTTGCRAAACAGAAAAAAACTGGCAATTGGGACAAATAAAAATCGAGTGAAATTATACATTTTATATGCACTGTAGTGTCGTTGCATTGGAATGCTGGTAAAAATTTAGCAATAATGATCATTTAACACGGAACTATTTCAGCTGTATGAACAATTTTTGCTTCCCTTATATCTTCRAGGCTTTGCACTAGCTTCAATTCAATCTCAGCTGGTGTAAACTTTCTATTATCGTCTGTGTCAGCTGGGGAGAAAACAAGGAAAAACAACATCAAACCAAAAGGGCCAAAAAGATGAAAATCTGTTTGATATTACTAACTACTGTATATTTAATATTATGAGACTTACGGCTTTTTAATGAAATTAATAATTCATGAACKATTTCAGTCCAATTATAGTGGTCTATTTGGTCACAAGTGTTTGGCCTTGTAAATCTGATACAACAACACTTATTATTATACAAAAGATCATATTGGAGCTTCTCTCTCTCCTAATCTYTGGTTCTGTTAATGTGTGCAATGGCCCTTATAAAGAAGATAACAAAATAGAAGGTCACATATAGTTCGATATACAGTAGTACCTTTTGCACGTTGTTTAGCGTAGYTGACAGTTCTTTTTAAGATAGTTTGTACTGTTGACATTGTCTTCTCACAGGCAAGTTTTAAGTCATCGGGATGTTTGTATGACCAGGCAAGCAATAGGCTAGCAAATAGGTCYCCAGTGCCAGTGAATATTACGTCTAGTTTTGGTATCTCCATTCGTATGCATACATGCTTGCCATCTAAGATTATGTAAATAATGCAATTATACTTAATTAAATGTACGATGGTGCAGATGACATGTATGTTAATTTATGAAATAAAAATATTGGTAAAATATCTACAGTAGTACTGATTGATTGACTGAATGATTGGTTGATTGAGCTTTGTTTAATTTGAGCTTTACATATAATTGCAATATAGTTTATAATATTATTATAGCTGTCATAGAATGCGCTCTCTGATTGATCAAATCTTATAATGTTTATTTCACCAGTAAAAGCACGGATGTGAAAGTGCTATAATAAAAGCAATAAACAGCATATTTTTGTGCTTTCCTGGAGAAATAAACTGCTTGGAATATTGGGAAAACACTCAAAAGGCATCTCTGGTTTGAGATTTTTTATGCCTTTTTCATGTTCAGCTGGCATCCCGTTTGGTTTATTTTTCAAGGAAAGGACAAAAATGTGTTGTTTTTTTAATGCTTTTTTATAATTTTAAGAAGACAGGAAGACACAGAAAGAACAGTCAAAACAACAGATCAGGAACAACCATAGGTCTATCATTGACTGATGCAACTTTGTGCACAAATTGAGATGTATATCTTTCATCCCTACACAAAGTAGAATTTTGAACCTACAATGTACATTGCACTCACATAATGATAAACTTGAGACAAGTTGTCGGTGCGTGCATTATTGTAGGGCCATTTACATGGTAAGGGTTCTGTCTTGTACATGAAGTCATATTTGTATAAAGCGGTGTTATAAATACTATATACCATTTTGAGGAAGTCACCTCGATGCATGGTAATTTTAATTTTAATCATACCTTTATAGGAGCTACCAAGTGCTATTAAGGAGTGATTCTTGAGCTCTGAGCTGGTAATAACTACAGTATTTGTTCCTCTGTCGTGTAGCACTTTCATWGCCTGTGGTCAACATGTAAAAAMGTTTCTTGGTACATTGGCATTATATTGATYAMATTTTGTGTCCAATTTGTCTGTATTTGCTATCAATCACAGCACTATAGATTTTGTTTTGCTTGTTATGAAGGAAGAACAAATACCTTAAATGCATCTTGTTCTGTTTCAATTTTAATTCCAGTCAGCATCCTGAAATGGTAGGCATATACACAACAATTATGAAAGATGGTTTGTTCACATACTTTTCTGATACTTTCTTACATGTCTCTTAACCCTTGCCCACTCAGTCCCCCCCCTAGCTTTTACTATACACACTTCCTTGTGAACCTTTCACACATTTAGTTTCTGAAACTTACTCTGCTTCAAACTGGTTTGGAGTTACTATGTCTGCTTTAGGTACTAAGATATCTCTATAAACTGGTAGCAAATCTTCAGGAACATACTGCGATAATTAGAGAATAGAGAAAAAGAAAAAAATATTGTTATTGCATCAAAATCTAGTACTAGTACATAGGACTGCAGAGCATATTTAAGGTTTGGGAGCCTTAAACAATCACCAAAGGCTTGATAAAGTGGGGAGCTCAGACAATATTTTGACATTTTCAACATCACAAAGGTCATTTCAAGCTTTTTTGAGTACCTCAGAGAACACACTTTATGCAGTGAATCTATGAAAATATTACTTGACACTGCTAAAAGGTATTCATATGTTAATAGTAACTGTACATGTACTGGCCACTATCAGTGCATAAATCATATCAGTTTCCATGGAYAACTATGACAGAAGATTACAGCATAATACTCTTTAGATTTACTTACAAATTTCCCATTGTCTCCCATAACTGGATCACAAACTATAATWAGAGAATATGGACAACATGAACATTTGCAGCAGCAATAGCACAAAATATGAAAAAAAAGAAATTGAGATGCTGATATAGTCATAGAGTTTATTTGTTGTTTGGAAAAGCTGTCAATACATTCGCCAAAACTTGTGAACCCTCTGTCGATCGACACAAAACATTAACAGTAAACAACAAAGTGTAAAGTTGTCCCTATTGCTTCAAGATAGATTATAACTGTTAATTAATAGAACTATCTGGGCGAAATAATGGGGCAAAATTGAAAATTAAGGGCAAGCTTAGCAAGGGGGGTGAGATGGCCTTAAATCAGCCAGACTGACTCAATCAGCCAGCGAAAACAATTTTCAAATTCTGACACGTATTCATTTATTAACTACMGGGATGGAATTATGGATTAATCTTGAGCGGTTTAAGAGAAAACAATGGCTTGCATCCTTACCAAATATGAGATTAGGATTTGCTATTCTCAAATGGTCAACTACTTTTGAAACTTCTTCTAAGAATGATTTACATCCCACATATCCTATATTAATCAATAAATATATAATAATTAATCATCAAAACATATAAATGTACTCTAAGAAATGAGTGGGACAATAACAAAATAATGAAAGAAGAGGATAGAAAAAAAGAAGACTTATCCGAGAAAGAAGGAAGAAGAAAAGATTTCACAAAAGTTGAATAATAGGAATAATAGGAAGGAAGTGGGAAAGAAGAAATGCATTAAGGAAGGAATGGAAAATTGGAAACATGAAATATTGAAAAAAAAGAAAAAATAATGATTGAAAGGAAGAAAAAAAGTGGTAGGGAAGAAAGAAAGAAAAAATTGAAAGAAAGATAAGAGAAGCTACAAGTACAACATATGACATTCAGGTGCAGAACTTTTTTGAAAAGTCCTTGTTTATTATTAGCATACATTTTTCAAKAAATTGATATTCATATGACCTGAAAATACAGACAGAGATCTAGGGAATCCATTTCCCTCCCTTTTCCCCCAGCTGAAAATTCTGGACCTCTATCATTCCATCAACTTACCAGTTAATAGATGTGAGTAATGGTGAATATCGTTAAGCCTTAAGCCATCAAACAATTCCTTAAGTTCATCAGCATTCAACACTTGACCCTTGAAGTATTTATAACCTTTCAGACAAAAGTTTGAGATCATCAAGATAGCAGAAAGTATCAGAAAGCGGTCTTTTTAAATGCTTAATAACCACTGCTCTGGTCCTGTCACCATTTGTATTTTGACATTATTTGCGATTTGGATAGAGCACCCAAGAGTAAAGTCACAAAAATAATTTTTTTTATTGTTCGGATTCGTTTAAGAATCCTTAAAAGGCATAGAAAAAGTTTTWAACCTGTCTACCAAATTGCATTAGCCTTTTTCAATTWATAATGTTGATATAATAAACGATTYTCATCCTTTAATAGATTTATGCTATCGTCACATACTGTACTATCATGCAAATGTCCACGTCATGTGACATTAATTATCATTTTGCCACGTTAAAAGCTGCATTATCAATTACATTCTCAGATATTATTTTAGAGGACAGAAAAGTGAAGTTCATTAAAATAATACCTAGGACGAGTGCCTACAAGATAAACGAAAAAACRACAATATTCTAAGTTTAATTATATTAGCTAACTTGAGGTTAATGTTAAAAGTTATAACTAATAGCTTATTTTAAAAATTTCAAACATACAAACAAACAAACCTGTATGGTTTGATAGTTGCACTGAATTCACAGTATCTACTTCAAAACCCAGCACCTACAGAAAAATAAATAGTTTACGAGATAAAATGCAGGAAACACTTAGGTTTAACAACTGCAAAATAACACCCTTTGACTTCGCGTAGGTCCAATGTGGCAATGTAAATAAATATCTTACCTGRAGCGGGAACGTAGCTGACTTATTTCCCACATAACCAGAAACTACATGACTTTGGATAGATAAAACTCTGCATAAAGGACCATTGGACATATTGTTGCGATAGGTTTGGAGAAAAATACCGTCAAATGACATGCAACACAATCAATCGTTTGGTAACTAGCACGTGCCTGTATCCACAGGGTACCCACTAATCGAATTCCACATGGGGTCCCTGTGGTGTTTGTGACTGAATGGCTTTATTTTGCATTTTTTAAGCTATTCACTGCTCCATTTATTTATTTATCAAATTAATAACTATGATACAAATACCATAATTGAAATAATTGTTTCTGTCATATGGATTATGTTCGGATAATAAATTATTATTTTCAACGCTCTAAGAGCGCATACACGGATTCCCCTATTGATTATACATTGATGCGATCCTTCCCTTTGTGTGGYTAAAGTGCAAACAGTTCCCAAAGTAACAGTAYWCGAAATGGGGCCTGATATACGCATCATTTGGTATCAAATTCTCCGTGCTGCGAAATATAAAGCTATTTAAATGTAGAATGGTGACATAGTTTGTTGCATCCGGTTCGGCGCTTGCAGCTTAATCCCGATCGAGAAAACACCGGAAACGCCTGCAAATTGTCTAAGTCGGGATCACTTTAGTAGAGATCGTCATCTGATGTGATCAGGAGTGAGCCACAAATGAGACGTTTGGACGTAGACAATGGTAACAGGTCAAAGTCGTTTTATAGGCTTTTTTCCTTTTTCCTTCGTTGACAGCAAGTCCAGTACATCAATCGAACTGTGTACTTTATCAACATAATCACCACCAAAACTACCAAGACCACGAACACTGCTACATCTAACAGGAAATACTGGTACCAGGCAAGTTGACYAGAGTACGGACGTAGATGTGCAAGACTCTCGTGTCTAAGGGCGTACTCTATCCAGTCACCAGCCTCCTGAACCGGGCTACGAGGACGGTCTTGCATCAAGCGTGAAATGCGCTGGGCGTTTTCACGGTAACTGCAAAGGGATTGATAAAGTATTCACTGTTTGACTACGACTTCACATCAAAAGAACTGAAATTGTAATAAAGAAAAGACACAGGAAACCCAACATACCTTGCCTCCTTAATAGCATATTCGATAGTACTGTGTAGTTTATCAGCGGTTAACTTTCGAAAATCAACCGAAAGRCCAATGTTTCGACTTTCCATCAACAAAGCGTTGTCAAACCCATCCGAACACAATGGAATGCCCACCAAAGGAACTCCGTAATACGCAGCCTCGTAGAGACTATTTTGTCCCASGTGGCTCACAAACAAACGTAGTTTTGCGTTGGAAAGCAGGTCATTTTGTGGTAACCAGGGAACGGGTTTGATGTTGGGACCCAGAGACGATGGGATGTATCCTAAAAAGATAGGAAATACAGATTTAATATAAGTGTCTGAATATTCGCTGAAGTAGCGATGCACCATTATGGGCCGCAAGAACCTGGCGGAGGCCATTTTCAGTTTACCGAAAGTCTATACTGAACTGTACTGTGCGTTTCGAATCCGCTCATATCTTGACCATCTCACTTTTCTCAGCAAGCACTTCAAACGCTAATATTAGAGTTTTCAACCATCTGAAATTCGTTTTATGGTGATACTTGGACACTAGAAGTATTTTTTATCAAAAATCTTARCAATAGCAGAGGCGCGCAAAGCATAATGGTGAAAGTTGGGCCTTTAAYACAGTATTACCACGAATTCTGTCCTCAAAATAAATCTGAACAGACTCGTCAATCAATTTTAGGAAGATTTATAGTACAAGAGTTAAAGTTTCCCCACCTTTAAGCCTCCAAATAACTTTCTGTTTCAATCTACCAAAAGCCTCCGCCATGATATCGACTTTGTCTTTCGACATCGCGGCAATGTTGGATCCAAAAGACACGATAATGGCTCCGTCATCACCAGAACTGTCAATCAACTGCTGTAGATCAGGGGGAAGAGGCTTGACTGGTTGGATGTTCAACGGTCCTATCATTTTATAGTCTGGAAACACAAATGAATTTGTTACTTGATTTAAATGAACTGGAATGCATGAATTATTAATGCAAAAGATTGCAATTTAATATATAGGTAAACGTTAATAAAGATTCAAARGCCCACATTCATCCGACGATGAACCTTTATCGTTTTTCTTGCATACGAAAAAGAAGAATCGCCATCTTTGATTTTCGACCAATCAGAATGCAACTTTCAACAGCAGATCACTTTTAAGTAACGATTCGAAACAAACGATCGCAAAGATTCATGGATAAACGTGGYCCTTTAGGAAACAACCTACTTGGTGGTATGGGATAGGCGTGTTCCAAGGCGAAGTCAGCAACAAACAATGCAAGYTCRATATCCTTTGATGATTCAAACAAGCTTTTCTCGGGTTTGATGTTGTACTTCTCTCTRAGGTCATGCACAGGCTTGAGCATCAAAAGAGAGTCATAAACCATACTGKTAACAAKATTYAATAAATTCTTYATTCTTTGGAAGAAATTCATTTTGCCRGGTAAAACAGACATGAAGGCAGGCACGTAGGATACCATGGAAACCCCTTCATAATTGAASGGACCGTGGTACACYTGCARAAGTCGAGGTGGTCCTGGGCAGTACTCCACTCTTTTGACATCCAAATAGTCGGACAAAAGAAKYCCACAAGCRTGCATACTGCAATCGSTKATTAAAAGATCATAGTCCTTCAATGGCTGAAGAACCTGAGTGCTGTTAATCAAATAATCACAAAATGTTTCGTAAATGGCTGACAAATTTCCATAGTAATGATTACTTTTGAAAGTGTCTTCATTGACTTTCTGTGCAGCATATGATTCTCCTACATTAGCTTCGAAGGGAACATCGTACACGCGGTTTATTATTCCTACCGGTGGAGTCACGTTTTGATCACTACTCACCAATATCGAGAACTAGAGTGAAAAAAAAAATGAAGTATCCTGTTAACAATACACTGGAAAAAATGGCGCGCTTTAAAGGTTGTAAATTTGATGTAAATATGATGTAAGTATCCAAAATTCTGTATATTTGATGTAAATGATTTCCATTAAATTTACATTTTTACATTTTGGACACTTACATCACATGTACATCATATTTACATTAAATTTACAACCTTTAAAGCTCGCCATTTTTTCCAGTGATATTGCTGTGCTTGTGATCCAATTGTTCCAAAATTGTATTCCTAAAGTCCCAAATTTTTCTTTGCACTCTTGATGCTGGGTTCACTAAAATTGACTGATAGCTGATTGCAGATCTCGATCCCAATACCAAAGCTAACATCCTGTGCCGGGCTGTTATAATTTCCTGATTATTCTAATCCAAGATTAACTCCGTAGGTTTTTGCTTTCAACACCCGATGTTGATCTAATCTGCAAGTGCTTAGCCTGCGTCACACATCCGTCGAACTTAACCAATCGTTTGTCCGGATGTGACGCAGGCTACATGTGCTACACGAGATGGTTTTTCGCTCATTAAGGACCGATAATATGTTCAAATAGGTCATTTGAAGAACTTGGAGCTTGGTTAAAAAGACTTTTTTTTGTTACTGCTTATCATCGGCATTCGCATTAATTTGACCTGCTTTGCCCCACAAAATCGTGTTGTTATGAGATACCCAAGCACATGATCAGGCCATAACAAATGGCGCATATTTGATTTTGAAATTGTTGAAATGACCTTTGATCAGCAATCCTTTGAKCTAAAAATTGTCTTGGGTAGACAACTTTAAAGGAGGAGGACATTGGGGTTTGCGGGATTGCGGGATTGACCGTTTTTTCATGCGATATTGCGGTAATTTGGCAAAATAAATGCGATAATGCGGGATTTGTATTTTGTGCGATATGCGGTATTTGAARTTTTAAGATGCGGTATTACGGGAAAAATCTCTTAAAATGTCGGTATTGCGAGAAAAATGCTTGCAGATCTAATTTTTCTAATCGATTTTTTCATGCGGTAATGCGAGATTTTTGAATTTTTTTTGCGGTATTGCGGTATTCAGAGCCCCCCAATGTCCCCCTCTTAAAGGACCTCGACCAACCGGCAATATGTGTCATATTTTGTAAAGTTTCGAGATCTTTAGAATTTAAATCTTTGATTACCGAGATCTTACTGATCGAATTTTTCGTTTTCAATTACGTCACAGCGGCCATCTTGGAGGAGCTTTAGCAAAGGATTTCTCATTAGTATCTATTATTCATTTCTCCAACATGGCCGCCAGTCTTTTATCTTTTAATTTGAATCTCATGGGAATGGATGAAAAAGATCAATTATTTTTTTCTTTACTTAAGTCAAGTATCTTTCAGATCTTTGCATAATTCTATTCTGTTCATTTCATTTCATTCGCGCTCGATCTTTCTATGATACTAGGCAAAATACATGCCATGTATGCGGTCAGAAGAAGTAATTCAAATATAGTACAAGTTTTTTTTTTTTGTTCTCTCTATATATATTGGTTTGGGTAGTTACATAACTGATATAAACATAGTMGTTGTCTATAAGGCAGACTAAGGCAAACTTACTTCATGTCCACGTCTAACAAGCTCTTGACCAATTTGCTTCATTCCCATGTACTGACTTCCACCAAACAACGGTAAAGCTACAATCTTTGCCGAGTCAATGAGTCGGGAGTGCGTGACGAGCATAAGAATTATAGAAATTTCTGATGCSGATGCCATTGTTGCTTATACATACTAACCTCGAGACGTGGATTAGTTTTCAAAAAACTTTTGGATCACAGCGTGAGATGTCTGAACATGACCACAACAAAATGAATTTATCAAAAGGTCAAAAGAGTGCCGGGAATTATTGAAAAAAGAGAAAAAAAGAAGYAATTTTTGTGAAAACCCATATTCCTTTTATTTCAAAAATAAGCCCTCTGTTTTATTCGTRCCGWATAACAATTAAGRTYGMWTATGCATGTATTTATGATATTTTCAGTGTTAAGTCAGTTGTACGTTAAGCACATCCAAGAAAACACTCGAACATTTCTTCGAGGAAGAACTTTTTTCGTCAGAAATCGAACAGATTTAATCTCTATTTTTGGCTGGAAATTTTTTAATTTTTCTGCACATTGTAAGACCTTGTTCTTGTCAAATTTCTATTTTATTAGTGAGTTTTCTGTTTCTTGTCTCGTCGGCAGCACATCCAGCACATCAATCGAACTGTGTACTTTATCACCATAACCACCATCAAAACTACCAAGACCAGGAACACTGCTACATCTACCAGGAAATACTGGTACCAGGGAAGTCTACTGGAGTACGGACGAAGATGTGCAAGACTCTCGTGTCTAAGGGCGTACTCTATCCAGTCACCAGCTTCCTGGACAGGGCTACGTGGACGGTCTTGCATCAGGCGTGAAATGCGCTGAACATTTTCACGGTAACTGAATGTGCGAACAGAAATTAATAAGTCTCAATGCAATATAATGAATCGTAAGCATAGACATGGGCTTCCCAACATACCTAGGTTGCTTGATAACATGCTCGATAGTACTGTGTAGTTGATCAGCGGTTAGCTTATGGAAATCAAGAGAAAGGCCAATCTTTCGACTTTCCATCAACACAGCGTTGTCGAATTGATCTATAAACAACGGGATAGCAACCAGAGGAACCCCGTRATACGCAGCCTCGTAGAGACTATTTAGTCCACCGTGCGTCACAAACAAACGTAGTTTCTCGTGGGACAACAAGTCATTTTGCGGTAACCAGGAAACGGGTTTAATGTTGGGGCTGAGAGACGATGGAATGTATCCTGAAAGGATCGGATATGCAGCTTCAATAAATTGTCTGAATGTTGTCTAATGTGGCGATACATCAGTGTTGGTATAGGACCGTATATTATTACCAAAAAAATATATAGTCAACAGGCGCGTAGCGTGGACCTTTTGGCTAGTACGCACATGTCAGGGTCCGCGACACATATTTTGGATCTGGTGGTCTAGAGACCGCCAAAGGTGGGAGTATTGATAGTTTTCAACCATTCCCATGAGAGTGAGCAAAACAAAAAGGTCCGCCAGTCACGGTGGTGGTTTTCTTTTGTCAGGTCCACCAGCATTGGCTGACGTCTTTTGTTCGACTGTTTCTCTTGGGAATGGTTGAAAACCAAGAATTAAGGGAGTATGGACCTCCCTCAGAATATTTTGAAATGATACCTCTTGGAAATACGATTTTGAGCGTTTTGAGAGACATCGAGATGTCAAATTTATGTGAATTTTTCAGTAATTTTTGAGTGAAAATTTTAATATTTCCTTGCCACTAGTACGTATATAGTGCGTATATGCGTAAAGGACGGTACGCGAAACAACTTGTCAATGAATTCTAGTAAAATCTAGTAAATTCTAGTAAGTAATCATATAATAAGACTATTACCAGCGTATGAACAAACTACAATTTTAACTGAGTTCTTCTTCGATCCATCCGGAAAGCAGTGTTCAAAGCAACCTCGTTCCCAGGGATAAGGCCCTGGGAACGAGGTTGTGTTCAAAATGCTCTAAACTCAAATCTTCTATATCTGAATTTATTGCCAGAAATTGACTCACCTTTAAGTCTCCATATCACTTTCTCTTTCAATCTACCAAAAGCCTCAGCCAAGATGTCAACTTTTTCTTTTGGCATTGAAGCGGATATGATTGTTCCAAAAGATACGATGATTGCTCCATGTTCACCAGAATTGTCCATTACCTCTTGCAGATCTGGAGGGAGGGGCTTCATTGGCTGGATGTTTATTGGTCCAATAATTTTATAGTCTGAACGAAAAAACAAGGAAAGTTAAAACTTCATTGTTATCGAATCAATGACTTAATTGGCAATTTCAAAATCGGGATAAGTACATGTTATTTTGCAAAATCAAAATTTATGGAGGAACGTCTGGAGAAAAACTAAAGAACGATCAAAGCAAAGGCTTTCGGATGCACGTGGTCCTTTAGGGAATAACCTACGTGGCGGTATGGGATAGGCGTGTTCCAAGGCGTAGTCAGCCACAAACAATGCAAGTTCAATATCCTTTGATGATCCAAACAAGCTTTTCTCGGGTTTGATGTTGTACTTCTCTCTAAGGTCATGCACAGGCTTGAACAATACCAAAGGAATAGTAACCTTGCTGAATACAATATTCAGTACGTTTTTTACCCTTTSAAAGAAGTTCATCTTCAAGCTAGGAATAACAGACATGAACATTGGCACATACGATGCCATGGTTAAGCTCGCATAATCATAAGGACCGTCAAGTAACTGGAAAAGTCTTGGTGGTCCTGGGCAGTACTCAACCCTTTTAACACCCAAATAGTCGGATAAAAGAARGCCACATGTATGCATAGTGCAGTCGGTGATTAAAAGGTCRGTGTCTTTGACCAGTTCAAGAAGCTGCGTGTCGTTGATCARACATTCACAAAATACTTTGTACAGCAAAGGTAGTGACAAGTTCCCATAATAACTCTTGAAAATTCCTTCATTCATTTCTTGCGCAGCGTGTTTTTCCACGACGTTTTTCTCGAAAGGAACATGGTACACACGATGGGTTATTCCTTCCGCGGGTTCCACCTTTCGATCGCTGCTTACCAATATGGTGAACTATATGGAAAAAAAATTAAGACTGTAAAAAAATTAAGACTATATATTTAAAAACATCCAAACTACTCTATAAAATTACCAATCGATCTCAGCTGAGTGTCACACGTTCATTTCGTTCGTCGTTTTGTTTCAATATAATGTCCATTGATCCAAAACTGTTCTGCTGTGGACTAGGTCTAAACATCTCGGTTTGGTATTCCGTTACCTTTCATCACCTTTCATCACCTCCATCCAGCCCAACMGCCGTCCGTCTGGATGTATCACAACTTCCCTTCACTCTCGGATCTACAAAATCTCCACTTAGATCCTCCTATCTTCCTTTCATATCAACTGTCCCTGATCCATTGGAACCCCTCGTTTTATCTTTACCACCGCAACTTCTGCCCTCCATTCGGGGCCATCCTATCTCTACTATCATCCTTCTCAAAATCTCTTCCATTCGAGTCCATCCATGTTCAAAGACCTTTCCAGCAGATAGACCTAAKTCATCTCGGTTTTACCATTCTAAGTATATATCCATCTCTCAAGTTACCTGCCTACCTACATTGATTGTGCCTTCCTGACTATATAAGGATCAGAAAACATTTCCCGTGGAATCCGGACTGATCCAGAGCCTTGGAATCCGACAAAGAAAACGGAATCTGAAAAATCAAGTGGAATCCAGAATGGAGTCCAGAATCTAGGAGATTGGAATCCGGGAACGGTCCGGGTTCCGTATCATGATCGACATATATTCTCTAGGCAGCATTATATTTGACGTCAATATACTGGAGCTAATGATAATGCCCTTATTAAAAAACACAGACACTTTTCACTGTATGAGTATCACACGCATTTGAATCCAAAAATATCTCACTACAARCGTACMTCGTTTTCCATGCCCCAGCACAATAGCAATTTACTTCTGCCAGATTATATATTTACATAGGCAGCAAAATTGAGATTCTACGATCTCATTATCGSAGCTTGCATATGTTTTCCCACAACATTGCCGTAATAAATTATCTAAGACAACAAAAGAGAGAGAGAGGAATGTACATAGAGCGATATCAAATTTTGCCGACTTACTTGGTGGCCACGTCTTGMAAGTTCTTGACCAATTTGCTTCATTCCAATGTACTGACTTCCTCCAAACAACGGTAAAGCTGCAATTTTTGCTGAGTGAATCAATAAACTACCGTTTACAACGAGTAAAATAACTAAAACAACGGCCGATACAGACGCCATTGTTGAGTTTTCGTACAACATCAACACAAGTGTAAATGAAGAACTGAGATTTGTGCATATATTGACCTCATCACGCAATAYACCAAAAGGCTGAGATGGAACGTCGCGGACAACGCAAATAGTCTTCTTCACGGTTCCCTGCGTCATCTTGAAAGGTAGCACGTAACAGGACGTAACCGTGAAAGAGAAAGATGAGATAAATGTTTGTTGGTAACTATTTTTATTTTATATTTTGTTTAAATTAGTGCACGTGACACGGCATTTAGGTTATTTTAAGCACGAAAGATGGTTAATAATTCAATAAAAAGAATTCCTGGGATAAAATGAAATTCACTTTTTTGCATCTAAGCCCATCTGCCATTAGGTTCAAAGGTTTTTCACTTAAAATTACAAAGGTTATTCAACTGCMCCTGCTTAATGGGTTTTCCAATTTTTTTCAGTTTGGATTGCAATGCAATCGCCAGCACAATGCATTTATGCATCAGTCTTATAGTATCAGTTTCAGCAAAGCTGGTGGCCGCTAAATGCGACTACTATCAGAAAATCATACGTTAGAAAATAATATAAAAAACATTTCCAGAAAATCATGCAAGATGTCACCTCGATCATCGTAAGCATCTGCAGGCGACTGCACGGATTATATATGTTTTTATTTTTTGGTTGCGAAAAGTTGCAAAGTGTCCATACAAGGATAAGAAATGCATAGTTTCAGCAACTCATCTGCGAGATACATTAGTTAACTAATCTCYGTTGCTGTTCCAACTTCTTTTACTGAATTTTCTGTTTTTTGTCTCGTCGACAGCACATCCAGCACATTAATCGAACTGTGTACTTAACCACCATAATCACCACCAAAACTACCAAGACCAGGAACACTGCTACATCTACCAGGAAATACTGGTACCAGGAAAGTTCATCGGAATACGGACGTAGATGTGCGAGACTCTCGTGTCTAAGGGCGTACTCTATCCAGTCTCCAGCCTCCTGGACCGGGCTACGTGGACGGTCTTGCATCAGGCGTGAAATGCGCTGAACATTTTGACGGTAACTAAAGAATATGAAAAAAATAAGCATGCATTATGAATATAGAAATGCTGAATGATTGCGATGAARAATCATGGGTAATATACCTTGGCTCCTTGATAACATGTTCAATAGTACTATGTAGTTGATCAGCGGTTAGCTTGAAGTAATCAAGAGAAAGGCCAATCTTTCGACTTTCCATCAAAAAAGCGTTGTCGAACTGATCCGCAAACAATGGAATGGCGACCAGAGGAACACCGCGRTAAGCAGCCTCGTAAAGACTATTTTGCCCCACGTGGCTCACAAACAAACGCAGGTTTTTATGGGACAACAAGTCATTTTGCGGTAACCAAGAAACGGGTTTGATGTTGGGACTCAGAGACGATGGGATGTATCCTGAAATCGAAAAGGATTACCAATGAGAATAGGAAGAAGAAACCAAAATATTGCTAAATTAATTCTTCAGGTTAATAGTAACTAAAAAGATTAATTTATTCGGTTTATCTTTTGCTAGAAACTAGGGTGACACCATTCAGTCGTTAAGATTTACTAATATACAGCTAGCAACCCTATGAACAGTGCTGAGAGCTGGAACTATGTAGATGTAGAATGATGTAAAAGTTATAT